GGGGGGAGCGGCCCCCTAGACAGTGGGAAGCGCCTGCTCCCGTCTGTCACACTGGGGGTGCTGTCCAGTGGGTGGAGGTCAGGGGGTGCTACCATCTCACAATGCACAGGACACCCCCAAACAAAGAGCTATCCCGCCCACGTGTCCACAGCGCCAAGGCGGAGGACCCTGTCCACCGTTCGAAGGCTGGCTTAGGTTCTCAAATTTAGCATCACAAGAAAGGTCTAGGTGTCGAGTTCTCAGACCCCAGGAAAAATTAGCAAAGTGGAAGTTGAGACAATTCCTCATCTGTGAAATGAATGTGTTGGAGCAGATCTTCATTGCCAGGGCCTCGGTTTATATGTTTTGCTTCCCTTTTCTTCCTCTCTCTTTTTTTAATATTTTTATTTTAAATTTTTATTGGTTTCAGAAAGAGGAAGGGAGAGGGAAGGAGAGAGAAACATCAATGATGAGAGTCATTGATCGGCCGCCTCCTGCACGCCCCCTGCTGGGGATTGAGCCCGCCACCCGGCCTGTGCCCCGACCGGGAATGGAACTGGGATCTCCGGGATCCTAGGTTGATGCTCAACCACTGAGCCACCCCGGCTGGGCGCTTTCTTTTTAATGTCAGAAAAAAGTTGCCAACTTTCCACCACGTAGGGGGGAATCCAAGTGAAGGCCAGTGTTGATTCAGGGATGACACCCTCCTTCTGCTCAGAGACTGGGGGGGAGGCTGTGGTGGGGGGCCCAGGGGAGGGTGGTGAAGGGCTGTTTCCCGCTGCCCCGCCCCGAAGGCCCAGGGTTGGGCAGAGCCCCTCGATGAATTCCTGACATGTGCGGGCAAGTGCAGCTTATTTCGGGCCGGGGGTGGGGGATGGACACTGAATCATCAGCCTAAGAAAGTTTCAGGAGTTTGGAAATTCAAGGCTGGCATCTCGAGAAGGGAGGCCAAGGGTTCGGGTGTGGGTGGGAATTTGGTCACTAGAACAAGTGGGTTTTGGGGACAGGGTCCACATGTCATTCTCAGTCAGTGCCTGGTGTGTGCAGCGCTGCGGTCGGTGTGGAGACAGGGACCCCAGGAGAGCCCAGGGCTGTGGGAAGGGGTGCAGCAAACCAGGGGGCAGCACAGGAGCACGCGGGGGGAGGGAGACAGTGACGATTGCAGGAGCAAGAACAACACCTAGGGAGTAGGTGGCACGATGACTGACCAGGGGAATCCCTAGAAAAATCTGTACAACCCTGTGTAGATTTTCAGGACAGGGGCAGGGGGTGGGTCTCAGTTTCAAGTCTGCCCGCCTCAAGTCCTCTCTCTAACTAGATAAGAACAACCTGTGCTTTGTTGGTAACGTTCCACAAGTTCGTCCAAGCACCCATGATCCTTCTCGACGTGACTGTCACCTGCTGTTTTTTTCTGTAATTGTTTATACAGCCCAGCCCAGCCCTGAGCACTCTGCCACATACAACAAGCTCTTGTGTGTCCCATGGCTGGATGGCTCCCAAGGCAAGACGGGGTGAGGGCTCCTTTCTGTCCCCCGGGGTCCCTAGAGCAAGCCAGCCCAGCTGTTGTCCTTTTTGTTTTTTTAAAAAATCCAAACCGCTTACTCCTCACTGGACCATCTGTTCAACTACTGGAGTTCCAAGGAATTATTGTGGGACTGACCTTTAAAAAGTCCTGTGTCATTTTTTCTCCTGTCATCTTGGCAGCAAATGGCCAAAGTTGCCACACTGGTGATCAAGATGCCGAACCTCTCCCACCAGCCCCCTGCCCAAGACTGCCCTGTGCATAAGAGCGATGGGCACATTCTCAGGGCACAGCTGGGTTTTTGTTGCCCTGGGCCGTCAGGACACTCGTTTTCATTCTGAGAAGGGAGCGTGATGACCCTGCGTCCTTGGGCTGCCTGGCTCTGTGGCCCAACGGGAAGCGTGGGCACGTACCTTTCTCACCAGCTGGGCGAAGTCCGCGCAGTCCCGGGGGGGCAGCCGGAGGAGCGGGCGGGTGCAGGAGTCCAGTGCCGAGCCGTGGGCCACGATCAGGATGACGCCTGTGTGGAATAAAGAACAGCTCGAGGTCCAAGCAGGCAAGGAGAGCACCTTTTATTAGACTGGGGGGTCCCCAAAGTTCTTGGGATGGAGCCACCTCATGGTGCCCCCAGGCCTCCGGAGGTGCCAGGGTAGAACAGGCGTGGCTGGTCCCTGCTCAGCAATGCCCACGGCCCTGCCTCTCATTGCACCTGGCTGGTTCTTCACAGCGTATCACATCCTCAGGCAGGGTCTGCGGTGGCAGCTTCAGGGATGGGACCTCGGCTTGATCTGAGCCACCACCTCTCCTGGGATGTCTCGGTGGCTGCCGCCCAGACCTGATCCGATTAGCTCGAGAATTATCAGCAGTTGA